CTTTATTATTTCCGAAGGAACAAGAATAACTGGATTTGTCCAAACTAGAAATAGAAACCAAATTTCGTCTAAATGACGGTGCAACAAAAGTCTCAATCAAATCCAAATAGACACCAGTCTTTAATAATAATCTAAATGTTCCGATAGCTTCTACTGGAACTTTCTTGCCATCGCCCACAAAGATGAATCTTTCAACATCACTTGGCGGTAAGCTCCATAGGCAACCGTGCATAGACATACTAACGTGAGTAGTAGCACCAGAATCTACCCACCAAGTATCTTTAGGTACAGAAGCTAAATTAACTTCAGAACAAACCATAACGAGAGTCTTTCCCTTCTTGCAGAAATAGCAAGTGAATTCTTCATCCTGCTTCTTTACTTTCTTCTGCTTAGGTGTTCCTTTTACAGTATCCTTGTCTCTCCTTTTGCTCTTATTCTGAGAGGTTGATGCCAAGTGAGCACTTTCAGTCTTATATTGCTCAATTTCTTTGAGAAACTTCTTGGCATTAGTGCTCCCAGCAATAAAGCCCCGAAACACCTCCGGAATGGAGCGTTTCATGATCATTAGACTCATGCGGTTAGAGCGGTCCCACTTCTCAATTTTATCCGTGTTCAGATTTTCCATAGTAGCAGTGGGACGCTCTATCCTGAGCGCAAGGTCTAAATCCATACATCTGAGAACGATTTTCACGTTCTCTTTCCAAATCTTAAAATTCGTCCCATTCAGCATTAGGATCATACTTATTTGGGTAGAAACATTAGCAGCAGTAGCAGAAACTAAATAGAGAACAAAGTAAAACAACATACTCACAATCAATATTCATGTCATACATAAGCATAATCAAACCATATAATGCATACATGACATAAACAAATAACTCGAAGCAAGGTGGTGGGCCCATTTCAAGATACCTAGCACAACACTGATATTTAGTCTTTGGACCAGAAATATCAGCTTGTAAGTGGTACTCTCCGTGCAGTAATCAAATATTAACAATAAATCCTGTCAAACAATAGCCTTCCTTTGGGCTGACTATTGCTCACATCGAGAGCTTTATAATTGTCACATATTTATTACCACAGGTATACTCATTATTTGGCCAAATAATAACCTCCCTTTGGGCCGATCATTATTCGCATAAATAACAGTATACACATCTTTATATTCTAAAATAAATTAATATCCACAACAGAGGTTACTTTGGCAACAATATTATTTCAATCAATTTATTTCAAAATACAAGACAATTAAGTGTAATAATAATCAAATAAAACAAAATAAAGAACCAGAATCTCATTTTATTTAATTGAATCTTTAATTTTCTTTAACTAATTTGCACTTAATTTCTTAATGGGTAAAAAATTTGCCCAAAATCTCTAAAATTGGGTTTTAAATAAACCCAAAGTTTCCCTTTATGGCCGCAGGTTGCCTGCGGTCCTCCACTGAAGCACAGGCCCAATAAGGCCTGTGCTGGCTTCTCTATCATAGGCCCTAAATGGGTCCTCATATTTTTTTTATTTTTTTTTTCAGATCTGGGCCGAAGCCCAGAACTTTGCCCTAGGATGGCCGCAGGTAATAACCTGCGGCCCTTACTTCAATTGCACAGGCCCTATCGGGCCTGTGCTTCCTTTTTTT